CCTGTCCCACCTGCGCCTCAAGGCGGCCGAGTACTCGTCCCTGAAGGCGGCGCTGGCGGCGCGCGCGGCGCCGGCCGAGCTGGCGCAGGTGGCGGCGGCGGTGCGCAAGGACGTGGTGCGCACGGACCGCGCCCACCCCTACTTCGGCGGCCCCGAGGAGGGCCACCCTCACCTGGCGGCCCTGCAGGCGCTGCTGACCACCTTCGCGCTGGGCCACCCGCGCCTCTCCTACTGCCAGGGCATGTCGGACGTGGCGGCGCCGCTGCTGGCCGTGCTGGACGACGAGGCGCAGGCCTTCGTGTGCTTCTGCTCGCTGATGCGCCGCCTGGCGCCGCGCTTCCGGCCCGGCGGCCGCGGGCTGGCGCGGGCCTTCGCCCACCTGCGGCGGCTGCTGCGGCGCGCCGACCCGCCCTTCTGGGCCTTCCTGGCGGCGCGCGGCGCGCACGACCTGCTCTTCTGCTACCGCTGGCTGCTGCTGGAGCTGAAGCGCGAGTTCGCCTTCGACGACGCCCTCAAGGTGCTGGAGATCACCTGGAGCTCGCTGCCCCCCGCGCCGCCCCCGCCCCCCGAGGGGGTCCCGCTGCTCGGAGCGCCCCTGGGAGCCCGCGGGGCCGGCCGGGCGCTGCGGGAGCGCCGGGGGCTGCGCCCGCGGCCGCCCCGCAGGAGGAGGAGGAGGAGGAGCGTGGAGGAGGAGGAACGTGCCGGAGGGCTCGCGGAGGGTTCCGGTGGTGGCTTTGGGGGTCTCAAGGCTTCCAGCGATGGCCCTGAGGGTCCCAAGAGCTCCGGAGATGTCCCCAACAGTCACAAAATCTCCAGCGAGCTCTTTGAGAGCCCCAAGAGCTTCAGCGATGTTCTGGAAGGTTCCGAGGGCAGCCAGGAGGATCCCAAGAGCTCCAGTGATGTCCCCAACCGTCTCGGGGACAGCCAAAAAGGGCCCAAGATCTTTAAGAACGTTCAGGAAGGTCTTGAGAGCTCCAGCGATGTCCCCAAAGGTCACAAGAGCTCCAGGAAGGTCCAGGGGAGATCCCCCAGGGATGCTGGAGGAGCCCCCGAGGGCTCCAAGGACTCGGAGCCAGGTGGCCCCAGGAAGGTGGAGGAAGGCACCGACGCCCTGGAGATCGACCAGAGACCCCACAGCCTCTGCTGGGGGGCTGGAGAAGACCCCAGAGAAGGACAGGATGACCGCAGAGAGGGACATGATCCAGGAGAAGGACGAGGTGGCCCCAAAGAGGGACCGGACGACCCGAGAGAAGAACCGGCTGACCCTGGGATGAATCGTGGTGACCCCAGAGAGGGTGACGATGATCTCGGAGAAGGACACAACATTGGAGAAGGCCACAACAGCCCCAAGGATGTCCGCCATGACCCCAGGGATGGACACCGTGGCTTCAGGGATGGCCGTGGTGACCCCAAGGAAGGATGCGATGACCCCAGACGTGGCCGTGACGACCTCAAGGACGACCACCGTGACCTCAAACCCAACCACGACGACCCCGAGGAAGGACGTGACGACACCAAACACGGCCACGATGACCTCGAGGACGACCACCGTGCCACCGACAACCCAAAAAGCCCCGAAGACCCTTGGGGCGGCCGTTGGGCTTGGGAAGAACCTTCCTCGTCCTCGTCCTCGTCCTCGTCGTGCTCCTCGGGCTCGTCCTCCTCGGACGAGGAGGTGACGGTGGAGGACGACGGCGCGCCGCTGCCACCGCCAGAAGAGCTGGGCCAGGGGAACCCCTTCCTGCTCTTCGTGTGCCTGGCCATGCTGCTGGAGCAGCGCGAGGCCGTCATGGCGCGCGCCGGCGACTACAACGAGGTGGCCATGCACTTCGACCGCCTGGTGCGCCGCCACCACCTGCCGCGCGTCCTGCGCCGCGCCAAGGCGCTCTTCGCCAGGTACCTGGAGGGCTGGGGGGCCACCGCGCCGGGGGGACCCCAGACGGGACCTCCTTCGGGGCAGGGCGTGACCTCGGGAGCCCCGACGGGGTAGGGGGCGCGGGTGGGAGAGAGGGTGGGAACGTGGAGGCCACCGTAGGGAGGTCTGTAGGACAAGGTGGTGACCCCGTAGAACATCTCCAGGAGGTCCTGAGGGGCCCCAAAGTCACTGGAGGTCTGTAGGACAAGGTGGTGACCCTGTAGAACATCTCCAGGAGGTGCTGAGGTCATCGTGAGAGGCTCCAAAGTCACTGGAGGTCTGTAGGACAAGGTGGTGACCCCATAGAACATCTCCAGGAGGTGCTGAGGTCATCGTGAGAGGCTCCAAAGTCACTGGAGGTCTGTAGGACAAGGTGGTGACCCCATAGAACATCTCAGAGCGGTCCTGAGGGGCCCCAAAGTCACTGGAGGTCTGTAGGTCAAGGTGGTGACCCTGTAGAATATCTCAGAGCGGTTCTTAGGGTCCCCAGAGTCACTGGGGGTCTGTAGGACAAGGTGGTGACCTCGTAGAACATCTCCAGGAGGTTCTGAGGGGCCCCAAAGTCATGGGAGGTCTGTAGGACAAGGTGGTGACCCCATAGAACATCTCAGAGTGGTCCTGAGGTGCCCCAAAGTCACTGGAGGTCGGTAGGACAAGGTGGTGACCCCATAGAACATCTCAGAGTGGTCCTGAGGGGCCCCAAAGTCACTGGAGGTCGGTAGGACAAGGTGACCCCATAGAACATCTCAGAGTGGTTCTGAGGTCATCATGAGGGGGCCCAAAGTCATTGGAGGTCTGTAGGACAAGGTGGTGACCCCATAGAACATCTCCAGGAGGTGCTGAGGTCATCGTGAGAGGCTCCAAAATCACTGGAGGTCTGTAGAACAAGGTGGTGACCCCATAGAATATCTCAGAGTGGTCCTGAGGTCATCATGAAGGGCCCCAAAGTCACTGGAGGTCTGTAAGTCAAGATGGTGACCCCAAAGAACATCTCCAGGAGGTGCTGAGGTCGCTGTCGCCAGCCTTGGACGCTCTTGGAGTTCATAGGACAACATGGAGACTCCATAAAACATTTCCTTGAGGTCATCATTGGGATCTCCTGGTCACGCTGTGGGTGTGTAGGACAAGGTGGTGACCCCATGGAACACCTCCAGGAGGTCCTGAGGTCATCATGAAGGTCTCCAAAGTCACTGGAGGTCTGTAGGACAAGGTGGTGACCCTGTAGAATATCTCAGAGTGGTTCTTAGGGTCCCCAGAGTCACTGGAGGTCTGTAGGACAAGGTGGTGGCCCCGTAGAACATCTCAGAGTGGTTCTGAGGTCATCATGAGGGGCCCCAAAGTCACGGGAGGTCTGTAGGACAAGGTGGTTACCCCATAGAACATCTCCAGGAGGTCCTGAGGGGCCCCAGAGTCACTGGAGGTCTGTAGGACAAGGTGGTGACCCTGTAGAACATCTCCAGGAGGTCCTGA